GCACAAGAACATTTGGAGAGCTGATAGCACTGCTCTCAGCAAAGAGACTAAGGCATAAATAGACTATGGAGAGCAGTCTGCTCTCTTCTGCTTTGGGGATGTAGGGACTCATTCTCACTGCTATTGCTACTGACTTGTACCAGTCATAAGTGAGCGGAGAATCAGTCTCCTGGTCTCTCCAGAATGAGGTTAATCCAAATGAGGTCAATTTGGGCACTCGTGCCTTTTCTAGATTTGACCAGATGCCTTTGTTATTCATGAATGCCTTTGGGGCAGCTCTCTTTTCCTTAAATTGTCTTTAAAAGTGGCAAACTGGAAGTGCCATAGAACAAAGACAAGAATGTATATTAACCCTGCAAACGGTGAGAAGGGAGCAAATTTGCTAAAGTGAAGCTCTCAGCTAACTGACACCGATTGTTCAGAGCAGAGGCGGCAACTAAAAGAAGAGATGCCAGCACAAAAGCTGACATGGGAAGTCTATACGGCAGGTTGGTCTAATCAATCAGAAACAATAAAGAACAAAACTTTCTGAGGATATCATACAGTAAAATTCTTACCAGTCTATGATTCCTGAAGAAAAATCAGTATTCTTATCAAGGCTATTTCTTTTAGTTTGCAAGGGTAGCTAACATGAGTCTAAAAATATAATTTCATGCTTGGAAAGAAACCGTACTATGGCTTTCAATGGCAATCAGGAGAAATAATTACTCATCAGTGTCCCCAGTGTTAAAAACAGATTAAATGTTCTTGACCTTGAAAGGGGCAGAAACACAAACTCACCCTACCTGCACTCTCAGGGTAGAACAAACAGTTATGTAAAAAGTCTAAGGTTACGGTTCCATGTCTGCTGGGTTGATTGAGTGGGCAGGGAAGGAAGTTTTATTTGAGATTACTGGTCTTCAGAGAACAGGGTAATATATCTGGAAAAAGGATGGATTTGTTTCAGTTCCCTTTTAATAGAAATCAAAGTAGGGAAGCAGCCCTTGTTTCCCAGCATTGCTTTAAACTTTGTTGACAACAGCAGTTTTTACTCTCCTCCATAATTATGTTGTCACATTTCATGGAGTCAGTAGTACTGGAGATGGAAAAGGCCTTGTAAACAGGTTCCCTGGAGGTTTGGTTAAACCAGGGCAAAATGAATGTAAACAGCTGCTGTTCTGGACACAATGCATCATTGTCCAGTGCACTCATATCTGTAGACTGCATGTGTAATGTTCCAAGATTGGACTTTGCACCACCTTTGCATGTGTCTAAATGATAATGCAACATGACAGAGGGAGGGGAATGACAACCAGAATGGTACTTCCATCCTAGAGGCATAAGTAGGAATTTTTGTCCCCTTGGTGGCAGTGATGGCGAGGTGCTCATCATCACTGGCTGCCATACTTGCACCCCTCTCTAAGATGGTGCTTGGGGTTGGCATCCTGATCACCTATGCCTAGTTATGCTACTGTTTCACCCTGTAGCCAGTGCAGTGTTCTCTGCAATATGGTATCTACTCACTTTAGGGTTACTCCATAGTGGTGGGACTTTCCAGTATTTCCTCCATGGAACATAGTATAAAGCAATACTATGATAGTGCTGCTAACACATGCTGGATATCAGGAATTTTGTGAACGTCTTCTTGGTTTCTTGGGTCTTGTCTTACAGTTTGTGAGCTCCTTGGAGCAGGGACTGCTATTTGATGTATGTTTGCACAGCACCGAGGGCAAGTTGGCTCTTGCTTTGCTCTAGGCAACACCACAGTAGCAGTTCTGAATAAGAATAATGATCTCAAATATAGGCCTGTCTATCCAGGCCCTCTCCCTGACCTTCCTGTGGGCCAGTGAGTTACAGCCCCTTTTAAGCCATTCCTTTTAAAGCGGCCCTTTCTCTTTAGCCTCTAACCAGTTTTCTGTATAAAGCAGTGATTGTCAACCTTTTTTCATTTGCGGATCCCTAAAAAAGTTTCAAATGGAGGTGTGGACCCCTTTGGAAATCTCTTACTGACAAACTTGTATTAAAAATAAAAATAAGAGCAACAATAACAATAATACAATTTGTGAACGTTTCAGTCTTAGATCATAGAAAATCAGGGTTGTAAGGGACCTTAGGAGGTCATTTAGTCCAACCCCCTGCTCAAAGCAGGAACATCCCCAACCATATCATCCCAGCCATGGCTTTGTCTAGCCAGGTCATAAGACCCTCCAAGGATGGAGATTCCACAACCTCTCTAGGTAACCTGTACCAGTGCTTTACTACCCTCTTGGTGAAAAGTTTTTCCTAATATCTAACCTATAATTCCCTTGCTGCCAATTGAGCCCATTGCTCCTTGTTCTGTCATCTGACACCGCTGAGAACAGTCCAGCTCCATCCTCTATGGATCCCCCTGCAGGTAGTTGAAGGCTGCTATTTAATCCCCCTTCAGTCTACTCTTCTCTAGACTAAATAAGCCCAGTTCCCCCAGCCTTTCCTCATAAGCCATGTGCCTCAGCCCCCTAACCTTTTTGTGTTGCCCTCCACTGGACTCTCTCCAATTTGTCCACATTCTTTCTGTAGTGGGGGGCCCAAAACTGGACACAGGACTCCAGATGAAACCTCACCAGTGCCAAAAAGAGGGGAATAATCACTTCCCTTGATCTGCTAGCAGTGCTCCTACTAATGCAGCCCAGTATGCCATTAGCCTTCTTTGCATGTGACTTTTGGCTAATATTCAGCTTACTGTCCACTGTAAGCCCCACGTTCTTTTCTGCAGAGCTGCTGCTTAGCCAGTCGATCCCCAGCCTGTAGCAGTGCATGGCACTGATCTGTCCCAAGTGCAAGACTTTGCATCTGTCCTTACTGAACCTTATGATATTTCTTTTGGTCCAATCCTCCAATTTGTCTAGGTCTCTCTGAATCCTAGCCCTACCCTCCAGTGTATCTACCAGTCCCCGAAGTTTGCTGTCATCTACTTCATTAGATGTTGAAAATTTTTCTTCAACATCCAATTTGTTTTGGTATTTCATTTTTATTGAAACTAAGGGTGAAAACCCACTTTCACATAAGTATGTGGTGGTGAATGCCATCAAGACTTTAATAGCTTATCTGTCACATCAGGGCACTCCTTTTTTATTTTCAACCATAACTGGGCAAGAGGTTCCTGCTGTTTCCTTCATCACAGGATAACTCAAGTAATTACTCTTCTTCCTCATAGATTCATAGATGCTAGGGGCTGGAAGGGACCTCACAAGATCATCAGGTTCAGTCCCCTGCACTAGGCAGGAAAGACAACTGGGGTTAGATGACCCCATCAAGGTGACTGTCCAGTCTTCTCTTGAAGATTTCTAGGGTAGGTGACTGCACCACTTCTGGAGCGAGCTTATTGCACAGTTTGAACACCCTGACTGTGAAGAAGTTTTCCCTAGTGTTAAGCCTTAAATAGTCTTCCTGGACTTTGTGGCCATTACTCCTGGTTTTCCCTAAGGGTGCCCTGCTGAACAGTTGTTTGCCAAGCCCTTGATGTAGTCCCTTGATACAGCGCTAAGCTGCTACCGAGTCCCCTCTCAGCCTTCTCTTTTTTAGGCTGAAGAGGCCCAAGTCCCTCAGCCTTTCCTCGTATGGCTTGCCTTGCAAGTCTCTGATCATACGGGTGGCTCTTCCCTGGATTCTCACAAGCTTTCCCACATCCTCATTGAAGTGCGGCGCCTAGATCTGGATGCAGTACTCCAGCTGCGGTCTCACCAGTGCTGAGTGAAGTGGAAGAATCACTTGCTTCATAGGTGATGCATGGGGAGGCACAAGAGGGCATGTATCCTCCCCCCAAGATTGGCCACCACCGGCTTCTGTGGGAGTTCACCGCCCCCTCCCCGCTTGCCATGAGCTACAGTCCCCTGCATACACAGGCAACGAGTCAGCCAGGGATCCCCCACAGATAAACATGTCAAACCCTCACACAGCCACACTGTTACACAATATTAGATGTGCTGTGAAGATGAAAAGTTGGGGCACAGATTGAGTTAGTAGATGTCCCTATACCCCCCAGACTTGTGTTGGTGGCCTCCCATCAGTTTTGTAGGACCTAGCCTTTCACTAAAAATATGTGCAGTTCTTATTGTTCCAAATGAAGCTTTCCATAAGCACCCCAGGATGCTGCCGATTTTCCCAGTCGAAATTCCATCCAAACTGGTATGCTCTGCCTCTGCCTGCCTCTGTCTCGCATGCACACGCACGCACCTATTCCAGTTTGTAAACTGATATCTCCAGGTGAGCAGAAGGGCCACAGGGCTGTAGTATCGCTGGGTCCCATATGAAGCAGCAGAAGCAGCATGAGGTGGGTCTGCCTGGCCATGCTCTGCCTGCTGGCACTGGGCTGCCTGCTGCTGGTGCTCAGGTGGCCTCTGGCCTTGCCGGGGAGCTGGAGTAGCAACAGCACCAGCAGCACTTCCCCTTTAGGTGAGGCCACCATCTTTACAGCCACCCCTAGATTTCAACCCTAGACCCTGGGTTGAAAACTACTGGTATAAAGCATTTGTGGTCTGCTCTGTATTAGTACTGAGAACCCATAGGTTTCAACAGAAAAAGGGGAGATTCCATGGGTGCGTCTACACATCACCCTGCATCACCAGAGCAATGTGCTATGTCTCTGTACGACACGCTACAGTGACGGAGCAAAATCATGTGAGTCTACATGTGACTGGCAGCAACTTTGCCACAGCGGCACGCTCAGCCATTTTAGCAAAGTAGCGGCTAAAATTAACTGTGCACCACATGGACGGCACAGTACAGGCAGTTACTGTGCCGTGCTTTAGTACCACCAAAAAGAAGTACTAAAGCATGGCATGGTAACATTGCCATAGAGCGATGTGTAGACACAGCCCATGTGTTTCTTGTGGGATATCCTACCACACAATGCTACCTAAAAATCAAGTGCCTTGCCAGTTATGGGCCAGTCCTAATTATTCAGTGCAACCTCCTTATTTGGCTCTCAGCGCATGGGAGCTCTTGATAGACCTAGTTAATGGTAAATCTGAACAAACACATCAGTCAGTAGTGTAATTATTCACAAACTTTGCACAGTCATTTACAGTTTGTTCTGACAGAAGGAAATACAGTTAGCCAGAATTAATTTTCAGGTTATCCAGAGAAAATAGATGCTTATTAAGAGAAGGTTACATTTTAATAAAGGCACCCATAATAATTTAAAAGAATACTGAATATTGCAGCTTGCACTTCTTAGTCTGTTTCCTGTATGTAGATTATTTGGTCAGTTTTGCTAGAACATTTATTCTCTCTGCTACTGAATCATTTGCTTTTCCTGTACAAAGTACCAAATCCATACTGTAACATAAAATTCACAGAGTATACATAAAAGACACCTTGGATCTCACAACACTTCATAAACTTATAACCATTTCCCTTATTCTCACAGCCAACGAACAAAAATAATAGCAGAGCCATTAGGCAAAACCAAGTAAATTAATGAACACTACAGCCTGAATCCTCTCGTTTAATTCTCGTTTTTAGTTTTTTAAGTTCAGTGTCATCTTTATCAATTAGGAGCCCATAAGCTGTGGTTTTCCAGGCTCCTGCATAATGGTGCCTTTCTAAATGACGTTGCGCAATGCAATGAAAAGCTTTGGCTAAAGTTTCCCTTCCGGGGCCATTTGTGATGCTGCGCAAGGCCAGGGACTGTCCCAACTGCAATGCCTCAATGTACTGTTGAACTGCTGCTTCCTCCTCTGAAGTTAACAAGAGCAGGTGCCCCTTTGAGCAGTGGTCCTCAACTCGAGTTTTTAGGCTATTAGACTCATGTTTCTGGATTACTTGGTCCATGTCCTGCAAGGCTTTGCCATATTCCTTCAGTTGCATCAGACATGCTGCGCGCTGCCGAAGATACCTTGGATGATTGTTGCTTGTCAAAATAGCCAGGGAGTAGTAACCCAGAGCCTTCTCATAGTGCTGGGTCTTCATCAGTGCATTTCCTTCTTGGGCTGAAGCCTATGGACAGAGAAAACTGGCAAGTATGTCTTTAAAAATGAACTAGAGAAATAACAGCAAAGCAACTGTTTGTGGAAGGAAAAAGAAAGGTTATCATGAACGAGCTGATATACTGTGCTGTCTAATAAAAGGCAGGGTAAAGGGGTTGTACAGGTGTAAGGGAATGAAAAGGCTGATCTGCAGGATCCCTATCACTAGTGCTAAGGCACAAGACAGGAAGACTCCAGCTCCTAACTCACCAGTTACATTTTTAGATTTGCACGCTGCAGATCTCCTTAATGTACAAATTACAGAGCCATGGAAACATCGCCGCACCACATGTGCCTACAGAGTTGCTTTGGAGGTTGTTGCCACATGGAAGTGAACAAACGTGTTTTTCAAGAGCTGTTTGGATTGTGCCTTTTCATCCATTCTCCAGTGGCTTGCATAAAACAAATTAAGAATTTTCCTTCCTGGATGTGTAACTCTTAATTAAATGCTCATGGTGTCCCCAGTTCTATCAGCTCATTTAAAAAGAAAAATATTTAGCTGGCAGCAGGACCATAACTGGTGCAAAACCTGTCAAATATTTCTCAAGTTGCCATGATGAGAACACAAAGGTGGAACTGCTTGTAAATATTTGCATGTGTTAGTAGCAGAGATGGGTCTCCACTGAAAATAAAGATTCAGAGAGTCTTCAGACTGCAGGAAAAATTCGCCATGTGCTAGCTTTGCTAATTATTAATCTGGAATGCAAGTGAGCTACCAGTTCTTGTCAAAAAGGAAAACAACAACAACACCACCATAATTTAGAAGGCTGAAAAGCCACATAATTCGTTAGGGTTAGAAAGGTCAACAAGGACAACTCCATTAGAACTATGTGCCTCTAATGGATTTCTCATTATTGCTCTTTACTGCTAATAAATGAAGTGGTGCTTTCACATGCGGTAGCAGAGTGAATACTTAAGTTATAAACAAGACCATCTCCAACCATCTCCAACTCTGGCAAGACCAAATTACACAAGCAGAGGCTATAAATTCTGGGTAACTGTTTTTACCAGCACTATCCTTTGGAGTTGCCTATCATCTCCTTTAGCCTGAGCAGTTAGTGAAAACCAAAAGTCTTGTTGGTTACTGCAGTAAAGGAAGAGAAATCGGTGGAGTTAGGAATTGCTGTGGTTCTGCTGATTTACAAGAATGTACAAAATCTTGCTTTCCTGAATACAGGAAGAATCAAACAACCAGAGATCGTTTCTCCACTCATGGCATCAACCAAACTTGTCAGTTGGCCCCCGTGACCCAAAAGCCAACAATCTTGGCTTCTTCCAGGCCCATGCACTAGTAGTTCAGACCTTCTTCTCAGCCTGTTTTGGGGGGGGTCTTTTGCCCACATACATACTCCTTTCCTATACAGCTCACACTGTTTAATGAAGTAAGCATTTTCTTTTATTGCTTGGGGTAAATCCCAGTGCTGGTGAAAGGCTGTAGATCAATAGCTGATGGAGAATGGTGTTTGATTCATCCACAGTACAATATAAAACCAACAAGATTCCCTCACATCAAATGTCGTCCAAGAGAGACTCTGTTCTAGGTTAGGAAGATAATTTGTTTTTGGCATATACCCAAAAGGAGATTCACCTTTATAATGGGCCTACTGGGAGGCTTTTATAAGCCTGAAGCAGTGTATAAACTTCTCGCTGTTTACCCTCGGTGTCTGGCTTTTTTTTTCTGAGGACATTGTTGGTTGGGATGGTGGTTTTCAGTTGCAGGGACATCACTTAATAAGGAACTGGGCTGAGACCCATCATCTCATGTCTCACAGATTTCAGAACGGGCATTACAGTGACTAGCTTTCCACTGAACTGGAGCACAGAAAGTTGTTACTTAATGAAGCCAACTATAAGGGTGAAATAGGTCCGCTGGAGACATCATATCCAAAATACTTCCTTTCAGCAATATGAAACGTATCAACTGCTAACAGTCTAGGAGCAATCCAAGCCCAATCACTGAGAGACTAGGAATGTGGACTTCTCTATATGCTCCTCCTCACCAACTCTGAGATCCAGCTCCAACATCTAGAGATGCATGACTCTGGGTGAGGTCAGCTGCTGTGCCTCAGTATAGGGTACTACGGACTTGAGCAGGTCTGGGTCTCAAAAACGTAAAGCAATCTATTTGCAAATATGTCAGACCTGTTTGTCTAAAGATTTGAAGGCCACCCAATGTAATTTGTGCGCACAGATATTTTTCAAAGCTACTACCCAATAATGTTGATTTTTCTTAGCCGTCAGCTTTTTAACAGGTAAATAGAGAGAGAACTGGGAAAGTGTTATTCGGAAGCATCTGAACACAAGAGCATTCCTGGTATTGCAAGCTCACCTTGTCCAAAAATGGAATATACCATGGAATATATTATTATGCTTGTGCATTTCAAAGAGACATCTTCACCTGTCTAAATACAAGTCTTTCCTTCACAGCAGAGCAAATCTGCACATTTTTGGTGACTGTCTCAGACACCTCCAGTCCTCACTAACTAGTCTTTTGTTGAACTCCATCTTATAGAAATGAGGGTAAATTTCACTCCCAACACCAGGACGTAGCAGCAGTGCTTCTTAAATGGAAGTGCTTCTTCGTCTCATTCAGATGGAAAGTAGGTACCCTGACACAGCCAGATGTAAACCAGCCAAGGTACAGCAAATTACAGATTACTCCCTTCAACCCAAGTCACAAGGGGTGCCTGTGAGAACTAAATTATATAGTCCTAGTTCCACTAGGACTGGAGTAAACGTGGTGATTGTGATATTGCAAGCTGCTTTAAAGGAATTGCACAGGACCTATTTCAATCGCTATTTCATCAGCGATCTGGATGATGGGGTGGATAGTAACCTGTTTAAATTCACTGATGACACCAAAATTTGGGGGGAGGTGAGCACGCTAGCAGGGAGGGAGAGATTGCAGAAGGATCTGGATAGGTTACAGGGGTGGGCTAACAGGAACAGGATGCGTTTTAATACGGACAAGTGCAGGGTGCTGCACTTGGGCAGTAGGAACCAGCAGCACACTTACACAATGGGGAACTCCCTACTCGAGAGCACGGAGGCAGAAAGAGATCTTGGAGTCATTATTGACTCCAAGATGAACATGGGCCGACAATGCGAGGTCATGGTTGGCAAGGCTAACCGGACCTTGTCGTGCATCCACAGGTGCATCTCGAGTAGAGCCAAGGAGGTGATCCTCCCCCTCTATGCGACACTGGTCAGGCCACAGCTGGAGTATTGTGTCCAGTTCTGTGCGCCCCATTTCAAGAGGGATGTGGACAACATGGAGAGGGTCCAGAGGAGGGCCACCCGCATGATCCGGGGACAACAGGGCAGACCCTACAGTGAGAGACTGCGGGACCTGAACCTATTCAGCCTCCACAAGAGAAGGCTGAGGGGGGACCTGGTGACCGTCTATAAACTCACTAGGGGGGACCAGAAGGGTTTGGGGGAGACGCTGTTTCCCCTAGCGCCCGCTGGCATAACAAGGAGTAATGGGCACAAGTTGATGGAGAGGAGGTATAGATTGGACATCCGCAAAAACTACTTCACAGTTAGGGCGGCTAGGAGCTGGAACCAACTTCCAAGGGAAGTGGTGCTGGCCCCTACCCTGGGGGTCTTTAAGAAGAGGCTGGATGCCTACCTGGCTGGACTCATTTGAGTCCCGTTTCTCTTTTTGGGGTTTTTTTGTTGTTCTCCCGCCCTGCCGGGGGGTCGGGCTAGAAGATCTACTAGGTCCCTTCCGACCCTTAATCTATGAATCTATGAATCTATGAATCTATGAATGTATAGTACAGAGACACTAATTAGCAGCCCAGTTGCACATCTGCTTCTGAACAAAGACATGCAAATAAAAGACCTACAGGAAGAAGCTGTGTGAAATCAATGTGGAAAGCCAGCCAGCAGCTTTATACTTAGAAAACACCTCTCTTTCCTGATCACCAGCCCAAGCTTGACTGTGTTTAAATGTTTGAAAATTAGGATGACAGCAGACGAGACCTGGTTCTCCAACTTTATATGAAGGGCTTTGGTGAGATTCTCAAGGCAGTTTGGGGGAATTTGTCATATCTTCCCTGCAATTCAGTGAAAGGTCTGTGTCTAAATTATCTAGATCAGTGGTCTCCAACTTTTTTAAGCACAAGATCACTTTTTGAATTAAAGTGCAATCCAGGATCTACTGGAGCCACGCGCCCTCTGCCCGCCTGGCAGCGGGACACACATGGCATCACGCCTCTCCTGGGGCAGCTGCAGTGGAGCCTGGGGCTCAGAGACCAGCATACAGCAGCAGTTGCCTTTGCCCTGTGCACAGATCTGGGGGGCATGTGCCCCCTGGGCCTCTGCTGGGGTGCGCACAGTGGCGGGAGATCCCCCACACCCCTGGACGAGCCGCCCGAGCTCCAATTGTCCCATCACCCAGCCTGGCCGGGGCCCCACTTGCCCCTGCCTCTGTCCTACTCCCTCCCTCACCACAGGGGCCTCGATCTGCCTCACAGGCTGACCTGCTGGGTGGGGGGGCATGCGTGTGCGCATGCATACATGTGCTCAGCCCCCCCAGACTGAGAGCAATTGTCAGAGGCTCCACGATTGACCAGTCAGTCGCGAGCTACTGGTTGCTGACTACTGATCTAGATGCTTTGAAAAGTACAATCTTCGTTTTTTCCGGACAACTGGCACTGCTTTTTTAGCCAGCTCTCAGTAACAGTAACATGTGGGACGATCAGCTTGTTGTATCCCTGTAAGGACCAAATTGAGACGGGTGGGATTGCACCGCTCACACCAGGGATGATTTGGGCTCTGAAACAGTTTCTTCAAAGATGCAGCTGGGCATGTCACCTGACTGCCAAATCAGAAGCTGCATTTTTGGGTACGCAAACTGGCGCTGAGGAATGACACTTTAACCTCTGACGCAGAAACCGCATGGTTAAAGCTGAAATGGTTACAGACAAACTACCTTCCCCTGGGCATCTGGAATCAAATACATCTTTTGGGTTCCTAGGCCCAAAATGACCTTCCAGCCATTTGTGGGTTCCATAGTAAAAGGATTGCTTTGGAGAGCAAATACCTTTCAGAGTAGGACACATTTATTACTTGTAATTACTTTGCTTATTAATTGAAAAAAACTCTTGCATATATCCCTGAGATGGCCTTCCTCTAGTTTTTTCCATTCAGATCGTCAGCTGTAAGTTTAGGTTTAGCTTTTCAGTCCAGGTACCAGGATAATGACGGCACATTTCTATATCACCTTTCATCTACAAACACTTCAAAAACAAGGTGATAGCAGTGTTTTGCATTTAGTGGCTCGAGCAGATGCTGAGAGCTGCGCTGGCTGATCTCTATTTCCAGCTCTGTTGCTGGCTGCCTGGGGTAAGTCACTGAACTGAGTCTCAGTTTTCCAGTTTGTGAATTGGAGGTGAAAAGAAAGCCACCTTCACCAGCAGTTGCATTTGGATTGCTCAATTAATCTTTGCAAAAGACTCTGAGGTCCTTGTTTCCTTATTTTTAGTGCAAAAGGTGTCCGGTTGTCCAGTTTCTGTGATTATATCAAGAGTCGTCTTTCACACACACACATGCCCTTAAATAAACTTGTAAGCCAAAGAAAGATTTACAGGTAAGCCTCTGCCACCCCCCAGTTTGAAATGAAAAAAAAAATGTTTGCCGCCTCCTTTCTACTGAAAGTAATGAGTGGAGCTACCTTGATAACAACTTCCCCCAAATCCCTGAAAATCAAAGCAGGGCTCACACTACAGCTTTCATTGTGGTTCTGAATTTAAAACACTGCAGCATTCATGGGGAGTTTACATCACAGGCTAATCTCTCATGAAATAATCAAAGCTAGGAAACCTTTTGCAGATAAGACAAGTGCTCTCCGAAGAGACCTCAAAGTGTCTGCAGTCGAAATGTGCACAATGCCTGAGATTAGAAAAAAATTAAAGAGGCTTTTATTTTTAATGCTCCTATTGAGTCCCCCCTCCACACTTTTTTTTTTTTTAAAGCAGCCCAGCCACTCAATCTCTGATATGAGGGAGAAATGTTTCATATTAAATCAGCCCTCAGTACGTAGTTTTTGTCCCGGCCCTTTTTCCAAAGCTGCTAACAAAAGATGGACACATGCTCCCCCTCCTGCTTTAGAGGATTTCACTAATCTGTTGCCCCAATGAGTTTCCAAAACGTTAGTGTAGTTTCAGCACTATTAAGATTACATATTTCTTATCAACAAGAAAAGAAAAGAAAAGAAAAGAAAAGAAAAGAAAAGAGAAAAGGAATCCTGTGTTTCAAAACTGTGCTGAGCCTCCTATACAGTGTGATGTGGCTGCTCTGAAATTCAGCTGGAAACCTTGTCTTCATTTATAGACACCTCCCTTAGGGCCTCCACAGAAACACAATTGACTGTACCTTTATCTCCTCTATAGAGTCAAAGTTTGCAAATTGGCTCTAAAATCTAACTGTTCTGCCATTTGAGTGAACTTTCTACATTATCCAGAGGAGAGGGGCTCTTTTCACTGTAATGGAGTATGTCTAGGGACTGGTAAATTAATACTTGTTTACTTATGTCCTCCTGCTGTCTCTCTAAAATACATACCAAAGTACTCCTCCAAAAATGCATTTAGCATATCAGCATGCTGTTCATTTGCTTTATAATATGGGACGAAACATAACAATATAGCTTCCCACCAGGGCATGCACAATCTACAAATTGAATAAAAGGAGGCAAACTGATTCTCAGAAAACACAGTTTCTAGGCAATCAAAACTGCAGATGCTTGAGTGAATGTTTAAAACTGCTCATCATCAAGCTGACCTTGTTCTGGTTTATCAGTGGAGCTACTCTCCTCAGCCTTTCCTTAGTTTTTATTTTGGCAGGAATTTGGCAAAACCAAGAATTTTTTTTTTTGTGTAGACCTGAAAGGATTAACATTTCTTGATTCAGCCAGTGAAACCAAAAATGATTCCTTTGCATAGCAATATTTCTGTCATTCCAGTACTAAATGATGGCCCACCCGATGTCTTGTTAAATATTTATCTATCCATTTGCCTGTATGTTCCTTTGAACAGCCTGGTTCTCAGTCACTTAGCTTCTGAGTTAGCAGGACATAGGCAAGTCAACACTGGAAGGAGAAAGGCCAAGGCATTCTTGTAAGTGGTGCAAGAGCTAGTTCTGGGGAATCAGCAGAGATCAAATCAGGGTCCCTTCACTGAAAGCCATGCTCAAGCTCAAACCCAGCCCCAGCCCCAGCCCCAGCCCTACCTTTCAGAATCAAGATCAGAAGAAGAAAGCAGTTCATGCTCCTGTTATTTAAGATCCTCCTACTCTTCTGCTTGTTCTGCAAACCATGAAGCTCTGTCCTAATTAAGTAAGAAATGTTTATGTAACTTAATTTAATCTCTTCTTTTTTCCCTCGTTGGGTACCCACACTGCTGGCAGGCTGCAACAGCTTCCAAAGCTGAGGGATGCATGATGGATTTAGAGGAGGAATCAGAGAAAGTTATACCTGAGAGAGAGACTGTCGCTGCTTGGGCTCTAAAAGCCTCAAGAGGAATCCCAGGTCCCTGTGGTCTTTCTGAGCTAAGACACTCAAGGTATGAGCTGCCCGTGGTATGGTCCTTCTCTTCAGCTGCAGCATGGTGAGCCGTGCATTGGCAGATTCATCAGTAACAGTCTGGCCAAATGCCTTCTGGAGATGAGCAAGGGCCTCTTCACACCTCCCTGTGGGATAATACCAATATGATGACTAAATGATATATGCCATGTCCAGAAAGAGACACCAAGCAAGCCTCTGTCTATTGTATCATTGCCGCATCTAAAATGCTCCACTTAACTCTAAGACCATTTGCCTTTAATCAAGAGCATGTTCTAGCTTTTAGACTTTAGAGATCTATTGCACATTAATTGATTACTATGGAACCACTAACTGAGCAAGTATTTGTAACTAAGTCTGATTGTCCTCAATTTTCTGTGAAGAATGCCTTGCACTGAAAGCTTGAATTGCCACGCATTGCCTGATTGAAGAACGCCTTGCATTAGAAAGCTTGTCTAAGTTTATCCCACCCATGCAGATGGTCCAATAAAAGATATCATCCACAAACATCCTTGCCCCTCACATAATTCCTGGACCATCATGGCTATATCACTGCAACATTACTCAATCTTTTAAGCACTTTCCAAGGGAAAACCTCTATATTTTCAGCAGTAGCAAAAATGTATCTTTTTCTACCATTTCACCTGCAACCACTTTAGTCTTGTCAAGTCTAAAACCTTTGGACTGGAAAATCCTTGGATGGGAGCCGTGTCTCATGATGTATATTGTTAAGCACAATGCTGGCACTAAGTAACTCCTGCACTAAGTGCAAATCTCAGTTCAGGCTGAACCATGGAGCTGTCACTGGTTTTACCATAGTAATAGATCTGATAGAGTCTACTGAGTAGTTGGCATAGAAGACCTCCAAAGATGGACTGTTTATGAGCTGTAGCAGATGTTGTTTTGGCAATGAAAGTGGCTTTGCTTGGTAATGCTGGGCACAGAGCCTCCTCCCAAACCTGTCTCCTGGAAGAGATGAAGACAAGAGCAGGGGAGAAAGGAGGCTTCATTTTTGGCTCCATTCTAGTTGGCTTAATTGCCATACTCCTCCTTAAATTCACCTGTAATATCACATGAATGAAACAGCCTTAAGTTCCTTGTCTAAACTGTGGCTGCGTGACGTTTATGACTTTCAACCATGTAAGTGCTTACATTCCTGCAGCATGTGGCATGATCTCTGCACACATGGTTTTTAAATCACTTTGGAGTACAGTGCTGTATGTTGTCGGGGCTAAGTACAGACAGTGAAAAAGCCTGAGGCAGAATCAATTCAATCTAGGCAGTGTCCTCTAAGTTACATAGGTTGAACTGATAACCAACTGAACTGATTATTAGTTTTCAATTAAGAAAGGCAGGGTGAGGCCTGTACTGACCTAGGCCAGTAGGCAGGGGATGCTGGAGCATGTTTCCCAGCCTGCTGGCCATTGCCAGCCCAGTCAAGTGTCCCCAACTCCTCTGTGTCCCCCCACAGGGGGTTAAAGAGCCCCCTGTCCAGGTGCTGGCCCACCTTGGGGGAGCCTCCCCCTCAGGAGGTTTGCCCCAGCCTGGCTTCCCCAGCCCAGACAGCCCTGGGGAGCTGAGAGGGATTCCCACCCTGCCCCTTCCCCTTCTGAGCTGCTGATTTCTTCAGCCACTGCCCCAGGAGGAAGGGAGGAGATGTCCTTGTGGCTCGATGCCTGCCCATGTAGCCCAGCGTGGGCACCAGGGAGCTCCTGCCTCCCCACCCCAGCCCAGGCTCTGGGCAGCCCCGGGGCGCTGAGGGGAATCCTTCCCCTCCTGAACCCCAGAGTTGCTTGCCTTAGCTGCTATGAGTCTCTGGGATAGCCCAGGACAGCTTCAGGGAGTGGAGGGAAATTCTTGTGCTCCCCTGCAACTCTTTTGCTTCAGGCTCACAGCAGCTGAGGCAAAGTCAGCTTTGAAGGGGCAGGGGGATTTCCTTCTGCTCCCTGAGGCTGCCTGAGACTCACAAGGGCTAAGGCAAGCAACTCCCAGGGCCAGGAGGAGAAGAATTCCCCTCGGCTCCCTGGGGCTGCCCCAGGCTGGGGAACTCAGGGTTGGGGTAAGGGGAAGCCCCCCAAGGTGGGGGCTCCCTGGTGCCCCCATGCTGGGCTGCATGGGCAGACACCTGGCCAGGAGGACTCCTCGCTCCCTCCCTCCTGTGGCAGCCGCTGAAGCAATCAGCAGATAGGAAGGGCGAGGGGGGAGGACAGCTGAGGGTCAAAAAGTCCTTGCCACAGAGGCTTTCCCTCTCCCCACATGCTGTGTAGACCCTGGATAGGGTGGTTCGGGGGACTGTTACCTTTTGACTCCCCCACCTGCTGTCCCTATGGGCTTATGGAGGCAGGCCGGAAGCAGGCTAAGGAGCAAAGGGCAAGGCAGTCCCTGCTCCACTGGAGCAGACAGCATAGCCCAGGGCTTAAAAGCATCCTGGGATGCTGGAGGACTGTGCATTAACTTGAACCAGAACAGAATCTAGTACAGAAGTTCCATAAACCAGTTTGACCTAAATCAGTTAAGTCTGATACTACATCCAACCAGGTTTATTTTAAACTGGTTTTGGCCATTTTGAAAGCAGTTTAAGTGCACTGAACTTCTGTTCTGTAACAGGTTTAAGCCAGTTTCCAATCACTTAAACCAGTTTATGTGTAACTTCTGTCCCTAGCCAGGTTGTTAGAAACAGCACTGTTACAGTTAGGTTGTTGTATTCAAGGAAAAGAACTTACCATCTGCCATCAAAATGTCTGTATACAAAATGTGACATCTTGAGTCTTCCTTCTTAATTTTAATTAATGATCCCCCAATCACAGTAAGGTCCTTGAGGGTCTGTTCCTTTGGAAGGTCTGTTAATGCACTCCGGCAGTGCTCAAGTAGCCACTCAGTGATCAGCACCTGGGCTTCTGGCTTCAAGGAAAGGATTGCTGGGATCACTACTCCTGCATCTGTTCTGAGGGCTGAGATCAAATCTTGTACTGCCTCCTACATGGAAAACAAGAGCTAATGGTAAAATAATAACAACAACTATCACAATGTATTTATAATCTGCCCATCTACAGGGCCACCTCTAAGTTCAGCATCTTGGGCAAACTGCTTTGCCTCTCAAGCTGTGCTTTAGTTTGCCCATCTGCAAATCTGGGATCATCCTATTATTAAAGTCATTGGTTCAGATGAATGGCTGTTAGGCAAGTGCTCTGATATCTCTAGAGTTGACAAGCAAGCAAAACATTGAATGTCTTCTCTTGGTGCGTCTAAATGAGACACTTTACTGTGCATTGGACTAATCTAATATGCAGTAAAGCATCAGCATCTACACATACATAGTGATTGCTGTGCAGTAGATTAGTCTAATACACTGTTTTCTAGTACCTGTAGATACAGGTACCAGAAATCAGAGCATTAAACTAATGTGCCGAAGCGTACGTGTATACACTGACCAGGAGCAATTGCTTCTGGTCAGCTTAGGCAGCAGGGGGCCACAGGGGGAAGGGAGAGCTGTCCTGGCTCAGCTGGATGCTGCCTGCCTGCCATGTGGACATTGGGCCTCATCCCAGTCTCCATGTGGCTGGGAGGCAGCTGCTCAGCAGTTGGAATAGCCCTCCCTCACCTCATGGAGAACAGGACCAGCCCCTATGTCCCCTGCCAGCCCAGGTCTGGCACCTGGGGGAGCCTGGAGCTTCCCTTGGCTGCTGCAGGGGGGCAGAGCAAGGCAGAAGCAGCCCTAGACTGAACTGCTCCCATCAGAAGCAAATTTGCTCTGGATAGGTGAACATTTAGATGCATGCGGGGATGCAGTTTAATGCACCTGAATTTTCTTCACAGTGAATTTAGGTGCATTAATTACATGTGTAGACCTGCCCTCTGTGAAGGAACTGGCTACATTGCTAAACACTTAATTCCACAATAAAAGAGATGCTGGAAATAAAAGTTCTTTCTGGTGTCCTGCTGGGCGGCATTCTAACTGGAGCCTTCAGGCCTGTGAATGGTGTTTTTGGACAGTCTGTCATTGTTTTGTGGTGCCCAGTAGGGCAGAAGGTTGTAAAAGAATAAGGTAAAACCAGGTCAGGAGGGTGCTCTGGTTACAAGAATGGACAAGGAAGACTTTAAGAAGGTAGTAAAACACACTGACCCTATAGCACTTGCATTTTGCAGTCACGCACCATGTCTGCTGAAGGACCCTAGGACAATTGGTACACTGTATAAAGGAGCACTGTGGTACATTTAGGGCTCCTTTATACAGTATATTTAGGGCTCAGGGTTAAGGATAGAGTGAGATTACTGGGGACCTTGTAAAGGAGGCAGATTTGTCTTAGGGAACACTGGAGCTACTTTTCTTGCATCTGCCCGAGAGCAGAGAGAAGTATTCAAAACTCTCTTTGATCTTTGCGAAGGTCTGTTGGAGCATTTCCTTCTTTTCCTCATTCATGAATCATGTTTTCCAAGCCAATAACAGGATTTAGACATACAACTGCCACTGATGAGCCATGGCTATAGCCACCCTCAGTTTTAAACATTGCTTTTGGCACCTACATGACTCAGCAGTAGGACTGTGTGAAATTTCACCGGGTGTTTCATTTTGACATTGTTTTGACTCATCTCGAGCTTGAAACAGCAAAATGGAAATGAAACAAAAGGCTTTGAAACAGCCATGAAACAATACAAGGGCAGTTGAAACATTTCAGAAGTTTCAAAACATTTCAAGTTTTGAACAATGCAGCTGAGTTTCCCTCCCCAGCGCTAGGATCGGGCTGGGGAAGGGAACTGAGCCCGATCGCGCAGTTCCCCTCCCCAGTGTTGCGATTGACCAGGCTGGGGAAGGCAACTCAGCCCAGCTCCTAGCGCTGGGGAGGGGAACTCAGCTCAGCTGGGCTGAGTTCCCTTCCCCAGCCTGAACCTAGCGCCCAACCCAATGGATTGCAGCACTGGGGAGGGGAACTGAGCAATGGGGCTCACTTCCCTTCCCCAGCTCAGTCAGGAACTGAGCCCCATCGCACAGCCCCTACATCCCTCCTGGGGTTGTGGCCCCTGATCTGCCTGCCGGATGAGAGAAGCTGGGTGCTGCTGCCTGGGACCGACAGCGTGCTGGCACTGGTCCCAGGCAGCAGCACCTGGCTTCCCTCCTTCATTTGGCAGGCAACCCTGGGAGGACTGGTACAGCCCCCACAGCCCTCCCAGGGTTGCAGGCCCCCGATCTGCCTGCCGGATGAGAGAGGCTGTTTCAGACTTTCCAGGTATAGCCTATGGGAGAAACTCAAAACAGTATCGAAAGAGCATCACTGTTTTGATGAAATGAAATGGAACAGCAGTTTCCAATTGAAACGAAATTCGAAACAAAACGCTGTTCCACCGAAATGTTGCGATGCAAGTCGAAACAGAACAGTGCCATTTTGCATGGCCCTACTCAGGAGCTATCAGGTCCCCACTGTGCAAAGTGTTGTAGGACGTCATAGGTAGAAATCAGTCCCTGTTCCAAACAGAGAGCGACCAAGGGCCATGGAGGACATGAAGTGACTTGCCCAAGGTCACATAGCAGCTTAGTGACAGAACCAGGAACAGAACCTCTGTCTCCCACCTTTAGGTCCATGATCTGGACTTTCACATGTACAGAGGCATGGATTTTTGGGGGTGATATCTTTAATTTTATTGGGAAGACCCAATAAAAAGTTATAAACCCCCCCAAACCCTTGCCTCTAGCATAATTCCTGGATCATACTGGCTACAACATCACTCTAACACTACCTTTCACATGTATAAACATTTCAGGACTCAACAAATCATTGAAGTCTTTGCACCATTGCTACAGGGTAGACTGAAGTTTTTCTATCTTACCATGATGGCAGCATGCTTTTGCTACTAGCTGTTTGTCATGATTTCTAATCTTTATACAACTGCTTATTATCAAAATTGTAATAAGTGCCCTTAATCATCCTGTAGAAGGATAAGCATGCTAACCTAATGGCAATGAAGCTCCTTCACTGCTTTCACTTGCAATTGGCCTCAGTGAGATGAGAAAGTACAGCAGAGCCATACAATTCAGATGAAGAAGTGTCTGATGAAGCTAGGTTCAGAGATATACATTAGCATCAGCCAGTACCATCAGGGTTGAATCCCAGTTCTCAGTAAAAGTCCAGCAAACACCCATCAGCAGGGAGAGATATGGCAAGAGACCAGGTGAACAAGGAGCTTATTCTAATAGGTTGGAAAGGATTGTTACTTTTTCATGCAATCCATTAGAAAAAAACTCCCTGAGAAGTTTAATTAGACTGAAAGAGATCATTATGGTTCATTTTTATGTTATTTAATTTTTTTTCCTTCCAAAAGGCAAAATGGCATTTTCTTAGACCTTTTCAAATTGGTTTGTAAACCAAAGAAATAAATTACTTCTATTTCAATCAACCATTACATGTGCAACGTGATGGGCAAAATTAAAGCCTGTTGCTCATTGTGATCTTCCTGTTATCTCAAAAAGCAGAGAAGCAAGCAATAATAGAACTATCATTAGGCCACCACCAGGGTAGCTTATGTGAAATATTTTGCACTTAATGGCCAATTAATATTCTCATTTTCTGTATCCATTCTGCTTAGCATTCATAAAGAGCAGTTTTTAAAAAAATCACCTTCAGAACTGTCTCCTTTGGCTGCATTTTGGAGGGAACCTTTCTCCTCATCCCTTTTACACTGTCCTTAGCAAATTAATTCAGTCAGTGTGTGGACATAATCAGTTTCTGATAGAAAAGAGCAGAAGATGGCTGGACCCTTCTCAGACTGAGCCTTGGCTGGGATGGCAAATCACATCTGTCCTGTTGGGTCCTTTCATCTACACCAGTGCCTAAAGGCTCTTACCCAGATGTTGCTCCCCTATCACTTTGGCAGCTGCTGATGCCAGGATCTCCAGGTTCCTCCTCCCTCTTCTTGCTGGGGGTAGTGTGACTTACTCAGAAGTTGGACGGCTAATGTGATTATTGTATAGTGTTCACCCACAGGCCTTGGGACCTAAGATTTGAGATCCAAGGCAGAGAGAAACCTTTCCTTCTTGTTGTCCATTTCTCTCTAAAGACTATTGCCTTGGCAGAGAATCTTGTATAATTACAAACTAACAACAGCACAGCATGTTTTCCCAAGACTGAACATTTGCTAGTCTACTAAAATAAAACATAACTCGTACCATCTCATGACCCAGCCATAATAGTAATGTTCTTGCTACAAGAAGAATAGGTGCGACCACCAGCTTTAACTGATCTTCGTGAAAATCACGACTTAACAACAATGCTATACAAAGTGTACCTGTCTTTGGCTATTCTAATTAACACAGGAAGCTGGGGAATGGTGTAGACACAGTATGGTTAGTCAAGCAAGCTTTCATTTAATTAAGGATGAATAGGTTTTGAGTAGGAAATATGAGATTTTTCTGTGCTTCCCTTTTTACAATCCATTTACATGGGCTTCTGCAAGTGAATTATATTAGGCCCCAGTTTTGACAGTCTATTATCTACAGCTGTAGGGCTGCACCCTTCGGCTAGGAGCAGACATACAAAAAGCCTGAACTGATTCAATCTTTGCAGGTTAGTCTAACCTGCACAGCTTGAACTGATTTGGAGATGGATAGACATTCCCTTTTCATGTCAGAAATGCAGACATATGCCTGCACTGGCTCAGGCTAGAAGCCAGGGGGCACTAGAGCAGCCCTTCCTTTCTACACTGCTGAGCTGAGGGGGAGGGATGTGGCCAGGCCCCAGCAGGATGCTTTGATTAGGGAGGGGTTTAAACCCCCACTCTGCCTTCACTGTCTCAGGCTTTTGCCTGCTGCCTGCTCAAGGGGCGGAAGAGTTGCCAGCCTCCAGCTCTGGGCTAGAAGTCTGAGGCAAAGGTGGGTATGCACCTGTTGGTGATACTGAGCTTTCCATCTCCATGTCTGCAAACCTGTCTGCAAATCTGACAGAGATGCTGGTGGGGGGGTGATAAAACCACTGTGTTATCAGCCC